CGCTTGATTTGAAGCCGCTAGAATTATTGAGTATTATATACGTCAAAAACAGTGGCGTGTAAAGACGTATTTATACGGAGTTAAACAGTCAAAGGGTTAAAGAACTACCTATTATTATATTCCCAAGCTCCTTCATTGATCATCACTTTATTTGTTCCCCAAATTATTTTAGTCCCTTTTTATATTGTCTCCCTTATTTTAGTTTTAAAAGAACTACCTTAGCTCATATTTTTACTTTTGTTTAAATAATTCAGGTGCTTTTTTTTTAGCTTTAGAATATTTACTTTGTTTTTATACTTAATTTAACTATAGATTCACTTTAAATCTTATGATTACAAGCACTGATCTGATACCAACCCCCTTATTGAATGACTTTAATGAATAAACAGTAACAGTTAAATTATACATAGCAGAACAATCAAAGGCACTTCTCAGAGCCAACAACAACATAACTGTCTTTAACTACAATATCAGACTTTTAAGCAAACATTATTTATGACCTCATAGCATTACTAAATTCCCTGCATGCCCGTATGTCCATCATTACTCTCACCGAAACCTGGCTAAAGCCGATTTCTACAGATGTCTGTGCCCTTCCTGGTTACACAGCTATCCACAAACTGTTGGCCAGTCATCAAGGGGGTGGCACAGCTGTATACTACTCAGACCAAACTAGAATGTATCACTAATACTTGCACAAGGGATTTAACATGGGGAATATATATAGCTAAATTCAAATCCAAATACCTACAAAAACCTCTCACAGTGATAAACATCTACAGAGTACCACAGTCTAACATTAGCCCTTTTAGTGAAAAATTTGGAAGTATGATAACTGTGCACACATGAATAAAGATCACTTACTACTCTCAGGTGACCTCAATATAAATCTCCTGCAAGGACCAGGACCCACACATAACTGAATTCACAACACTATGAGTAACTGCTTGTTGCTACCGGGCAGTAACAAAACCTACAAGAATTAAAAGAGACTAGTGTTTCCCTACTAGACCACATCTGGACCAAGCCATATCCCCTTTAAAATCAGGCATAATTACGATAATACCACAGACCACTACCCTACCTTCCTCATAAACTAATCTAAAGGGAAATTACCCCAAGGGCCTACTAAAGTCACTTTCAGACTTCCCCATGAGGCAGCCATTAATAACTTCACAACAGCAGTGACAAACATTGACTGGCCACTGAGCTAGAAACCTATACAGATATTGATGAAAGTATTAATAATTTTTTAAAAAGACCCAATACCTTTTAACAAGCACTCCCCAAAAAAACTAAACAGATGACAGCTAAGAGACTGAACAAGTCCCTGGCAAACACCAGCATCCTCAAATCCTTTAAATACAAAGCACCTATACGAAAAACAGTACAGAATGGGTACATAACCAGAGACCAAACAAAACGATACTCGTCAATCTTAACCAGCCTGATAAGAAGGGACAAAAAAATTGTATTATGAGAACAGATTCTCCAATTTAAAAAGGTGATATAAAAAAGACCTGGTAAACCCTTCAGAAATTCTAGGAAAAAAAAAAGACATCACAAAACAGCGCAATTGAACTAACAAACCCAGATAAACCCAAACTCCCACCAACTGAAACAGCAAACAGACTCAATGATTTCTTCTCCACCATGGTAAAAACCTTGCCAATAAATCCCAAGCTCAAATACCCCACCCAATGACTTTCTCACTGGCAATTTACCCGAAACCACATTTCCCTAGTTTCCGACTAACCCAAGAAAAGTCTTCCTTATTGTCAACACAAAAAAAAAACAAGACAGGAGATTTAAATACCTTACCACCCTTTAATACAAAAAGTGTTGCAAGTGCTGTCACCAATCATTGCAAACACTAACAAACCATCGAATCCTCTACCTTCCCTACAGTTCTCAAAATAGCGGGGGTCACCCCGATCCAAAAAGGGAGGAGACAAACAGACTTGAATAAACTATAGGCTAATATCCAACTTACACCCTCTCTCTAAAATCTTCGAAAAATTAATTCAAAAGGGGAATCTATTCCTATCTCATCTCCCACAACATACTAAACCCCCTGTCAGTTTGGGTTCGGGCCCTAATAAAAATACGAATGATGCTATTATACACATTGCTAGAACAAGTATACACTGCATAGGGGAAAAAAAAAGAAGTCCCACGGGGAAATCTTCATTGATTTACGTAAAGCTTTCTTTTACAGTTGATCACGACTTGCCCCACAAAAATTGTCGCACTAGGGTATAAGAGGGCCTCCCTCAACTACCTAAAGTCATACCTCAGCAACAGAAGCCAATATGTGTACACAAATGGAGCAAACTTTTCCGCACAGCCATTTACATTTGGGTTTGTCCCACAGGGAAGTGTCCTTGGCCCTCTTCTCTTTCTCATTTACATAAATGACCTCCCAAAAATGCATCACAACTACTCAAATCCACACTATTTGCAGATGACACTACATACGTTTCTCTCACCCGAGCCCAGTCATTCTAGCCAATACTGTGATTACTGAATTACAGGGAAAAAACCTACCTGGATAAGGACTAACAAACTTACTCTCAACATTGACAAAACCTACTTCATTTGTTTGGAAATAGAGCCACAGATGTCCCTCTTAACATAATGATAAAACGGAATCACCTATCACAAAGTCACAGAGGGGAAATTCTTAAGATCATAGACTCAAATTTTTAAACACACATACAACAAAATTTCCAAGGAAAATTTCCAAGACTGTAGGCTTACTATCGAAGATATGGTACTGTGTTCCACAGTCAGGGCCCCCCTGGCCCTATATCACTCACTTATTTACCCCTATCTCAAACCTGTGGAATTTTTGCTTTGGGCTCAACAACAATAAACCATCTAGACCATTAATTACCCAACAAAAGGCTGCAGTCAGAATGATAACAAATTCCACTACAGGCAGGGACACTCCACCAATATTCAAAACTCTAACCTACTCACCATACAAACATCCATACTTTTTATTGTACCTACTACATACATAGAAACACTTAACTTGGATATAAAACCCCCCCTTCAAAAAGTTATCCTTACCCAAACCCCAACAGAACACGTGACCATAACACAAGGCACAGAAACACTCTTTGATGTTCCTCATGTCCATCTCACACTGCAAAAACTCAATGCACATAAAAGGCCCAAAAGTCTGGAATTCACTACCTGTGAATATTTAAAAAAAACACTGTCTGTTTATAAATTCAAGTTCTTTCTTAAAAATCACTTACCCCAACCAAATAAATACTGAATTAATAGTATCACATAAATGTTTAACCCCTGACCCAGTCTAACTTTGTTATTTTTTAATTACATTACCTAACAGAATACTCCATTCTTTCTGAATGGACAGCAATACAGTAAAAGACCATATGACCTGTCTTTGAAATACTCATTTGTGCTAAATTGTTAACTGTTTACAACAATGTTTACCACTTAGTTAATTTTAAGCCTGCCCATAATGCTCTGCATACAAGGGGCTTTGGCATGTTACACTTAACCACTTAACCCGGGCCGCGGGGGCGTTGACCCCGGGAAACTCTCCCGGTAAAAATCCAGGTAAACAAAAACCCACTTGCCTTTCCCATCCACACCGTCTTCCCCACCACCCACGCTGGAAATGAGTCACTTTGACTTTTTTGGGTTATCCTAGGTTCTCTACACATGCTGCTGACTTTTTTGGGTTATCCTGGTTCTTACACATGCTGCTGTGTATGATAATCTATGTAAAATGTTTTTCTTGTGTATCTGAATAAACTTATACACTGTCTTCCCAACCACCACACCGTCTTCCAACTGCCCACACCATCTTTTCCCCCACCACCGACGCTGTCTTCCCTTACCACTATCTGTATCTGGTATCCTGGGCATTGCTTTCAGTCACAAACTCCTCAAAACCATGAAATTCATCTTCACTGACACTTCCATCTCTGTTTGAACTATCAATTGGGAAGAGAAGAGTCCCAAATTCACCGGGAAGTCAGATATTTCTTAATGCTAGGCATGCTAAACGAGGACTACTGAAATGGTGTTCCCACAATGCACCACTGGCTCCCCGATTTTTTTATACTGTGCACACAGACCCATTCTCTCACATGTAGGTCTACCAGCTTTCTCCCGCTAGATTTGAAGCCGTTAGAATTTTGGCGTAGTACTATGGCATCAACACTGGCTTGCAAGCCATAGTACTACGGCACCGACATTGAAAGGGTTAATCCTTGGGCCTCTGCATAACTTATTACTCACTAGCATAGTGGAATTGTGGAATGAGTGGAATATGAACTATTTATTTATTGCAGCAAAATAAAGCAGTAACAACTGCTCACCTATTTTTCCACCTGTTAGAAAGTATATTCTAGAAAACAAGTCTACAAGTTTAGACTAATAAGTCTAGCATTAGAGCTACATGCCACCCTAATCTAATAAGTAACTTAGCAACACACTATAAAGTGAATGCTCAAAAAGAAGAAATTCACTGCATTTTTTTTGTTTTAAAGTTCTTGTTTTCTGACCTGTTTTTCAGTTGGTCATATTATTGCATTCTATTAATGAAAGATCTTCAGGCATGATCACTCCCTGAGATCATATTCTTTCTACTCTTTGGTAGTTTGATTTAATTTTTCATTGTTCCAGCTTTGATTTTTAAATTTTTCAGTCAGTATTGAATTTTGTGCAGCCCACTGGAAGACTTGGCTTGCAAATGTCTCGACTACTGCTGCTGTACATAGATCCACTACGAGGCCTAGTTATTGACCGGGCTGCAGGGGCATTGACCCCTAGAACACCCTCTAGGTATACCCTTTTAAACACCAACAGTTTCCCACCATTGTAGGGTATACCCCCAGAAACGAAAATACTTTTACCTTCATTTATTCCATAGTTGTCTTGCCAGAGGTGTACAGACATCATATGTATTAAAATAATCTGGTTTTCATCATGCTGTACTTAATTTATCTTCCATACAGAGTGCAAATTGATGAAAGAAGTGCAGAAAAGCGAAATTTAGAAAATACAATCCATGATTTAGAATTCAGGAAATCTGCTCTTGAACGTCAGATGAAGTCACTGGAGGCGGAACTTGCTGCACGCCTGGATGAATTGTCTGGGCTTAAGGTTTGTATTTAATTGCTTGCTCTCATTTGATATTGTATCACAATAAACTTATTATTTAACTAAATTACCTACTGAGTTTTGCCTTTGGGGAATTGGTGTAAACTATTGGTTAGACAATAATGCCAGTCATTGACAGCTGGAATATTTCTTTATAATGTACAGATGTACATATGTACATAATGTACATATGAGGTGGTTTGGTCATTTAGAGAGAATAGATCAAAGTAGAATGACATGGAGAGTGTATAAATCTGTAGGGGAAGGAAGGCGGGGTAGGGGTCGTCCTCGAAAAGGTTGGAGGGAGGGGGTAAAGGAAGTGTTGTGGGTGAGGGGTTTTGTCTTCCAGCAAGCGTGCGTGAGCATGTTAGATAGGAGTGAATGGAGACGAATGGTATTTGGGACCTGACGAGCTGTTGGAGTGTGAGCAGGGTAATATTTAGTGAAGATATTCAGGGAAACCGGTTATTTTATGTAACTGGACTTGAGTCCTGGAAATGGGAAGTACAATGCCTGCACTCTAAAGGAGAGGGTTTGGGATATTGGCAGTGTGGAGGGGTATATTGTGTATTTTTATACGTATATACTTCTAAGCTGTTGTATTCTGGGCACCTCTGCAAAAACAGTGATTATGTGTGAGTGAGGTGAAAGTGTTGAATGATGATGAAAGTGTTTTCTTTTTGGGGATTTTCTTTCTTTTTTGGGTCACCCTGCCTCTGTGGGAGACGGCCAACTTGTTAAAAAAAAAATATGTATGCAAGGCATGGGATGCATCTTTCTTTGGCAAGGGTAATAACATTTGCCAGTTCAGTTAAGGGGTCCATTGCTGAATTATATCAGGCTTTATACTGGTGGAAAATGTAGGTATAAGTGAGTATATGACAAAGGGGTTGCATTACTAGGGAATGGAAGAAAAAAATTGCAAAGGTAGTTTAGGAAAACGTTCAGAAAACAAGATAACTCTTTATCAAGGTTGTGGCACTGTTATAGGAGTAGAGTGACACTTTAATTTAATATCAGCAATGCAGTGGAAAAGAAATCCATTCAGAAACACTCGGAAATGATATTACTATATGGTAAATACAGTGGTCCCTCAATAATCCTCCGGCCTGAAAGTCGTCCATTTTGGAAATAGTCCTGTTTTTTCGTCAAAATATTGGCTCGCAAATGGTCCGGTAACTCGCTAATAGTCCTAATAGTCCTTCATCCCGGACGCGTACTCACGCTCTGAGCCGCCTCGGCCTTTCCTTCCCAGCCAGTGTGCCATTGTTTACCAGTGAGTGACGGTCCCCTCACATGCTCCTACGAAATATTTCATAATATTCCATTGATTTTAGTGCTTGCAAGTGCTAAATAAGCTACCATGGCTCCAAATAAAGCTTCTAGTGCCAGCCCTTTGGTAAAGAATGTGAGAAACACATAATTTATGAAAAAGTTTGTAGAAAAATACAAGGATGGTGGTGGTAGAGTGGAAGCAGTTGTGTTAGTGGCTGATGAACATAAGAAAGGAGGATCACTGCAGCAGGCCTGTTGGCCCATGCTCGGCAGGTTTTTTACAATTCATCCCACTAACGAAACATTTTCCCAACCCAGTCCTCAATGCTACCCAAGAAATAAGCTCTGATAACTCTATCCACTCATTTGCAAGTCCCAAATGAGTGGATAGAGTTATCAGAGCTTATTTCTTGGGTAGCATTGAGGACTGGGTTGGGAAAATGTTTCGTTAGTGGGATGAATTGTAAAGGACCTGCCGAACATGGCCCAACAGGGCTGCTGCAGTGATCCTCCTTTCTTATGTTCTTATGTTCATCAACCACTATCACAACTGCTTCCACTCTACCACCACCATCTTTGTATTTTTCTACAAACTTTTTCATAAATAATGTGTTTCTCACATTCTTTACCAAAGGGCTGGCACTAGAAGCTTTCTTTAGGATGTGTAGTGATGTGGTGGTAGAAGGTAGTAGTGATGGTGGTAGAAGGTAGTAGTGATGGTGGTAGAAGGTAGTAGTGATGGTGGTAACAGTTGTAATAGTGGTAGAAGGTCTTAGTGATGGTGGTAGTGGGTTCCTTCTTTAGTGATTCAGTGATTCTACCAACTCCTCCAATGTTGTTGGAGTTATATAGGGCTACAAAAACCACCGCCGACTCAGCTGCTGCTTCACCACCATTATGGACGGCTTACACTCAGTGGCCCTTATATACCCAACAACAACACAACACCTCTCGTGACATACGTAATGACTTATTTTATTCATTCAAGAGTATATTCCATGTTTCTATGTTATTAATATTGTTTATTATGTCATATTAGTTGAATTGTGATAGATAAATAAGCCATAGAGTTGATATTAGTGTCATATTCTCCAACAATAAACTTGCCATCCCTCCCTCACACAAACAAATAGCCAATAAGAACATAACAATGGAAGAACACTGCAGGTCTACTGGCCCATACAAGGCAGGTCCTTATCAAAATGACCTCCACCCAAAGCTACCCAAGAATTTACTCCCGTACCCAATGACGCAAATCAAACTTAGCTCCTCCAACTCGTATATTTGTCCAATCTCTTCTTAAAGCTACCCAAGGTCCTAGCCTCGATCACCCTACTGGTAAGTGTGATGTTAAATAAGAACTTAAGAAAGTAGGAACACTGGAACAGGCCTGCTGGCCCATACTAGGCCATTCCTTCACAAATCCAACCCACTAACAGAACAAATGCTACCCAAGCAATAAACTCAGGTGCAAGTCCGACTCAAATCCAACCCCTCTCACTCGAGTATTTAACATGGCTTGATAAAGCTCCTGGAGAGCGAAACGTTGCCACAATAAATGTCACATTAGTTGCACTTGCGTCCTTTTACTTTACAACATAAGAACATAAGAAAGGAGGAACACTGCAGCAGGCCTGTTGGCCCATACTAGGCAGGTCCTTTACAATTCATCCCACTAACAAAACGAAGATTGAGACACTTATGCAACATATGGGAATCTTTATTCAGGAAACGTTTCGCCACACAGTGGCTTCATCAGTCCGATACAAAGTAGAAAGGCGTAAGGAGAGGAGGAGTTTGAGGTAATCAGTCCCTCAGCCTGGAGTCGATGTGTTCAGTCCATCAATCTTGTAGAATGTACAGCATAGGGCTGTAGATGTGGCTTATATACTGTAGTGAGGTGAGGCGAAGCAGGAGGAGGTGAGGTCATAGTGGTACCATCCACTAGTCGAAGTAGGTCTTCGTCCAAAGGTCGGACAAGTGTTGAAGAATTCTTTGTAACAAGATCCCATGATGCTGCAGTGTTTGACAGTTGTGATGAATGGTTTGAAAAACCGACAAGTTGAAGATTGAGACACTTATGCAACATATGGGAATCTTTATTCAGGAAACGTTTCGCCACACAGTGGCTTCATCAGTCCGATACAAAGTAGAAAAGCGTAAGGAGAGGAGGAGTTTGAGGAAATCAGTCCCTCAGCCTGGAGTCGATGTGTTCAGTCCATCAATCTTGTAGAATGTACAGCATAGGGCCGTAGACGTGGCTTATATACTGTAGCGAGGTGAGGTGAAGCAGGAGGAGGTGAGGTCATAGTGGTACCATCCACTAGTCGAAGTAGGTCTTCGTCCAAAGGTCGGACAAGTGTTAAAGAATTCTTGTCGGTTTTTCAAACCATTTATCACAACTGTCAGACACTGCAGCATCATGGGATCTTGTTACAAAGAATTCTTCAACACTTGTCCGACCTTTGGACGAAGACCTACTTCAACTAGTGGATGGTACCACTATGACCTCACCTCCTCCTGCTTCGCCTCACCTCACTACAGTATATAAGCCACGTCTACGGCCCTATGCTGTACATTCTACAAGATTGATGGACTGAACACATCGACTCCAGGCTGAGGGACTGATTACCTCAAACTCCTCCTCTCCTTACGCCTTTCTACTTTGTATCGGACTGATGAAGCCACTGTGTGGCGAAACGTTTCCTGAATAAAGATTCCCATATGTTGCATAAGTGTCTCAATCTTCAACTTGTCGGTTTTTCAAACCAAACCTAAATTTGAAACTACCCAATGTTTTAGCTTCGATCACCCTACTAGGCAGACCATTCCACTCATCAACTACCCCTATTACCAATGTTCATTTATACATTTTATTAGTGCCCTAGAGTCCTTATGGAGGGAGATTCCCCTTCCAAATAACCTCTCTTCCCTCTCTCCTCCTCCCTGTCTTCCATTCATCAACAGCAGCCTTCAATAAAGGTAACTGTCATGTTGAATGTTCATTCTTTTGTGCATGTAAATCTATCTTTAATGTAAAAAAAAAAATTTTTGTTGATACTTCTAGGTGTCTGGAATGAATTAATTGGATTTACATTATTTCTTATGGGGAAAATTGATTCGAAAATCGTCCATTTCGATAATAGTCCCACTTCCAGGAACGGATTATGGACGATTATTGAGGGACCACTGTACTGGAATGGTAAAAGTGAATAAGAAAAAGCTATAAAGAAAACACTTTCTCAGCATTTATTTCTCAAATAGTCATAATGCAAGAAAGAAGATATTCAGGAATGTTGATATTATTGCAGCAACTGAGACTGATTTAATTTGAAGAGTCTGGATATGTCTGCCGAATACCATTGTCGCTTTAGCCACCTTCGCTCTACCTGCTGCTTGCTCACTTTCTCCACATCTACTTCAGGGTGCTGCTGATTCCAAGGCAGGGTGACCCAAAAAAAGAAAGAATACTTCTACCATCATTCAACACTTTCACCGTAATTCAGACATAATTACTGTCTTTCCAGAGATGCCCAAATACAACAGTTTAGATGTCACTCCAAACAGCCAATATCCCAAACCCCTCCATTATTCCTTAAGCTGTCCAAACGTAGAACTACGTCCATGTGCGGCGGGGGGGGGGGGGGGGGGGGGAGGCTCCGAACATATATCTACTTTTTTTTTTTTACATGCTTTCAAGTGGGGAAAATCAAGGTCGGAGCGCTATG